GGCACTTTGAGCTCCTGGAAGAACCTGGGTCGAAGCAGTACTCCTAGAACGGGACATCTTTTGTTTGGAATAGGTGCAATTGGTACGATGAAGGAGAGAAACAGTTATTGCTCTGGGGAAGACGACGGAGGGTATTTGACTCATAACGCTGCCGACGCGCAGCACCAGATTGGGGAAAGCGACAACGTGACCCTGCCTATCACATTTCTATGTACATGTCAGACCAACGCACTGCAACAGATGCATCGACTAGGCCCCGGCTCCACCTCACCGGCCCCCGCGTCGTACAAAATAGTGCCGACAAGCTAGCTTCGAATTAAGCAACCTTCTTCTTCGGTAGTCAGGTGATGATGGTTTGGATCTTGATGTTTCCTTCTCTGGCTACAGTCCATCCATGATGACTCCCGGCCAACTAGTCGTAAGAATACATCGTCTGTGTCCTATCGCTGATACTCGGCAGCTTCATTGGCGGACACTTAACCTTTTTCTCCTCCGTGACAAAAGCATCCATGGTGCCCACATCTTCTCTTCGAGCCGCTTTAAAGAAAATCGCTGTGAGTAACGGTCAGGAAGAAGCTCAGCTTCTCCACTGTGGTTGACGTCTTGATTGAAGGTCGAGGGCAGTACTACACGACGCACGCCTGCAGGTAGTTCGCCATTTGTCCAGCGCTCGAGTGTATCGCTGACGTTGAAAATCATGATATTGCCTGGCTCAGGCTCAACGGGGAGAAAGTCTGGCTCATCATCATTCTTCCCGTGAGCTTGTAGGTTGGGATGGTTTTGGTATTCGGCTCGGCTCTTAGTCTCTAAGCCGCCCACCCCATCCTGGAAGAGAGGTGTGACGAGGCCAAAGTCGGCGTGAGGCCAGATTCGTGCCGCCTTGCCCTGCGTGATGAGTGATGCTGGGACAGGACGGTAGTCAGCTAGACGCAAATCACTTACATCAGGCTTGATGCGGCTGGTAAAAGCGCTCTTGGAAGAGAAAGGTCCGTCTCCAAAATAGCCATGATTCAACAGCAAAGTTGTGTATGGAAGTGCAGTATGATTCAACAAATGGCTGGAATCCAGGCAGTGACGAGTTTCGAATTCTAGCTACTATATTTATATTCATCGAAACATCCCACTTTGAGTAATCAGACAATGCAGCGGCGCCTTGTGTCATTCAAAAAGATCCAACATCAGACGCTCCAAATCCTCTTGGAGTGCCGAAAACTTCGTTTAACCGGGTGTTCGATGGTTATACTCTGTAGAAAGGGGTAGGGGACAAGCACCTTCCTAAGTCATTCCACTACGCCTGATTCGGCGTTTCGACATCGAAGTTTTACCTGCGTAAGGTTTTCTAGAAGGCTTCTTAATATAAAAATAAGATTAGGAGAGAGTAGTTGTTCTTACCAGTTTTTCTTAGACGCTCCTTTAAAAACAGTATATTGAGTCACAGAAGCTTCAGGAATCTGGGTATAACATGACGCTCCGCTGTCAAGGCTGAAACATTCAGAGTATGCGTTTACACAAATAACGATAGGCTCAGACCACACGTTATTCAGACTCAAGGACCCCAGACCGTTGTTTACCCGATCCGCAGGTCTAGTATACGATAGTTCGTTTGAATAGCGACCGGTATCGACTCCATTGGAGTACGTCGTTTCGCCGGATTCAAGAATATCTCCATGGTCAGAACTAAAAGTACCGACACATACATTGAAGGCATACGCCTGTAAGATCATAGTAGCGAGAGCAAGGATATATGTCTACATTGTGAAGAGCGAAAGATAGGCGTAAAGAAGAAGCTAGAAGACGTAGTGCATGAGTGATCTGAAAGAAGAGTTGTGACCGGGCTACAAGAGAAGAACCACAACAGCCATATATACCTATCTGTTTAGCTAAAAGTATAAATTCTTAAGGTAGTTACAACACTTCATTTCTATCTCATATGGGAAGCCCGGAGTGCCCGAGGTCAGATTTCAAGCAGCGTACAAGATAGTCCCTTGTTTAGTTACACGTGTTACAGCATGAGATTTTAAACTATAAACTATGTAGTAGAGACTACTTCTGCTATGTTCACTCACCAGAGCTACAGATAATGTTACTATTATATCTGAGATAGATGACCCTACTACAAACAAGGGAATTTCGATAGCACGTATATTCCGCCCCTAAGGCAACAGATTGTGTAGAATTTTTTCATAACAACAATTACACACAACCTGTACTAATTGAATAAAGTTTGCTATGGTGCAATAGTTACTTGTTAGGTAGCGACTTGTACTAAGGGACTAGGGTGTTGAGCAGAGATCAAAGTTGCTCTGTGCAGGGGTGCCTCTACTTTTGTGACTTCGTTACAAACATGTTAATAAATCAGACCTTAAACGCTAAAGAACTAGGGGAGGTGGGCTTCAGAAAAAGCCACTTGAGCGAAGCGACTAATTTACTTGGATATGCAGCAACAATACCAGACATACTTAGCTGCTTTCTTAACGCCTCATAACCTCTGGGTTTATCTTCAGGCTTGCAGAGGTGTCTGTCTCCTGTTTAAGCAGATTTTCTCTGACATTACTCTAGTCTGTAGAACGAAGTTCGCGCGAATCAAGCAATGTCACGCACACAAGTCTTCCGTCGCGGACGTTCCACAATCTATAGGGATCCATTAAGTAACACATAGTCCAATACTGATAGACCCCACAGCAGTCGTACCATTGATGCTAATAACTCTAAGTCTAAACTTAAATATGCTTTGTTCCGAAGTGTATGTCTGCAGTTTCAATCATTTTACAACTGTAGACAAAGTTGAAAAGCACACTCAGTCACACAAAGAGGCTAGTAGCGGAAAAAACACTTTCATAATAGGTATATCAGACAACCTATGTGTAACAGTCCAAGGCGAAATGTATTGTAATCAGCTATGGCGACTACGTACTTGTTGCTCTTCAAGCGGTTTCTTTATATAAAGATTTGTTCTCCAGGCAGATGTCTGCTGTTCTCTAGTAAAGGTATACTTCTGCTATAATCTTAGGCGAAGCGACCTTTTCTAGATTTCTAGGTCATTAACCACGCTGATATTTAGAGCCAATACAGAGGTATGGCGACAATAACCCCAGAAACTGGCGGTGTTTCTATGGGATTGCACTGGCGTGTTGTCTCGTGTTCCCATGGGGCTTTCTCCGGCAGTTCTGACGCAGGTAGCTCACTTTGGTTGCACCCCAGCCTCACCCTTGCCTCACCCAGGTTATTGCAGAAGGATAGAAAAAGCGGCGAGACTCAGTCAGCTCACCCCATCAGCTAGAAGGTCACTAGACGACCTGAAGAAGCTCCACACGCAGATTCCACGCGATGGCAAAAAGCATATTAAGAATCCTTGGGCGTTTTCGGCCCATTGCAACGAATCAGGGTGGCGTCTCTTACGATGAGAAGGGTAACTCGACGATGGCCAAAGATCAAGAGATCTGCGCTTGATCTAGAGGAAATCTCGTCACTGGCCCCAACTGCCAACCATGAGCCGGCCCGCTCCCTGTTCCCACACGCTCGGCGAGCCCCTGGTCAGGCCCGATCGGGCTGCATTCCGTGGAGATGGCCCTACACTGCAGTTGAATGTTCTAGATTTCACAGCCCGGGCGAAACACAAAGCCTGGTGGTGTGTAGGCTTTGGGGCGCGATGCGCATCTCGATGCTGCCGAGGTGGGAGGTGCGAGGCGGGGCGGGTGATGTAATTCGGACCTCATCTCGTGGCGGGCGATAACCGTGAGGGCGATAATGTGGAGAGCTGAAGTCATGCCGCAGTCTGTGCTGGGGGATTATTGTGTCGGGCAGAGATTGATGTAAGACGAGGGCGACATGATGTCATGCGACGAGCCGGTGTTTAAAGAGACGGCTTCGAACCTCGATGAGAGAGGGATTAGAACAGGACAACACAATTCAGTCACAGCACTTGGATACCGAGAACCACTTGAAATCGTCTACCCGATTTCGTGATACCCCAACCGAACCACAGCGACCAATTCCATCAAAATAACCAACATGTCTACTGTTACTCCTCACGACAAGAAGCCCCCCAGCGCTGGCACCAAGGTACGTTTTTAGAAGAAATTTTAGGCCTGCACGCACGCCTCAAAAGGTTGCCGACGATGGGATTGCTAACAAGGCCAGGTTGAGCTCGGCGCCGCAGCTCCCACTCGGCCCGAAGCCCCGGGCCCCGTCCAGCCCGACTCCCTCGCAGCCGAGTCCGCCGGCCACGGCGGCAAGTTCTCCGAGAACAGCGGCGTCGATCCCAACACATCAAAGAACACCGACAGCGACAACAGCAACAACTCTGCCAGAGCCGGGACCGGCGGCTCGTCGACGGCCGACCCGGCGCCGACGTACGTGCTCAACCAGTACATCCGCGACCCCAAGGGGCCGCACGGCAAGAACATCCACGAGGGCTTCGACGACAAGAACGTCAAGGACGGTCTGCAGGAGGCGCTCCGCGCGGAGCCCGGCAGCGAGAATGACCCGGCGCGCGTGGCGGAGCAGGAGCTGCTCAAGAGCCAGCTCGGGCCCGGGCGTTACGCCGGGCCCAGGGAGACGGAGATCAGCGGCCCGATCGTGTACGAGAAGCTGGACAGCGACGTTCAGGCGTAAAAGGTTGATGTGCGCAGGAAGGGGAAAATGTGTAATGACCTTGTATGACTAGCATTAGAATACCCGACGGGTGATATGGAATGAGAATAGGCCTGATTCCAGACTCGAGAGTGCCGACTGTGACTGACAGTGTTTGTGATGTGTATAGATGTGTATATCGACCTGAACGATTCTCATTCGTGAGACAATGCGGCGTCGTGTCAAGGTGCTTTTTTGATGCGGTATTGCAGAGTAAGAATATTGATGTGCATCTCTCAGAGCAAGATGATGCTCACGAATAATAGCCGCAGCGTGTTGCTTTCATGGTGGAAGGGACTCATTCCACTGGTGGCAGTCTTAGGGAAGTCGATATAGACTGAAATAAACACCTAATATTCAACAACAACGGGCGCTTGGTCTAGGGGTATGATTTTCGCTTCGCATTTCGGGTGTAATCCGGAGGCTGATTGTGAAAGGTCGTGGGTTCAATTCCCACAGTGTCCAATTCTTTTGTCTCTCTTGGAGAATATTCTTTGCGTATCAGCGAGGTGAAGCTTCGTCGATATATTGACGGTGGTGATGAATGAGTGCGCAAGACATTGTTAGTGCTGTGTGATGTGATAACTGAGTGAGTGGCTGGCAGGTGCAAGTCTGAGGAGACGGTAAGCGAGACGAACGATGTCCGCTTTTGGAAAGAGCAACCAACAAGGCTCGGTTAAGCAGCCGCCGACCATTCAATGCACTGCTTCAACACGGATAACCAACCATCTTCAAGACACGATGCAGGCGGAGCTGACGACGGACAAGGGATGATCAACTCTAGCAGCGTGCAATACGAACGAACTCGCTTGGATGCCGTTGCAGAGTGGAGCCCCCTTTTTGAGAAATACGGTTGCCTGATTTCTCTCTCGCTCTGCCAACAGTCCAAGCATCATGGCCCTGGAGGGATGGTTTTGATTTGGAGGCGGGCTGTTTTCTCCCATCAAACAATAACGGTTTGGACTGAACAAGGGCCGGGCCGAACCTTGGTTCGAGTGCAATCATCGTCTTTTACTCTGCAACAGCCTGCTGTCGGTCTCGCGTGTCCAGAGAGGGACGAAGACGAAGACGACGACGACGACAGTCGGAAGAAAAGAGTGCAGAGCGCCACATCACCCTCACCCATGCCCGCCCCCTAGCCACGACAATGAGCGTGCCCGAGTCGCACCAGCTCGAGTGCCTCGCCTCGGACGCGGACGGCGTCAAGCCCCCCTCGCCGACGGCCCTGGTCGGCCCGGCCGACGTGCGGTGGCTGAACCGGGGCGGCCGGCGGTGCGAGGTGTGCAAGATCATCGCGCGCCTCGTCTCGACGGTGCTGTGTGCCGTCATCCTCATCATCTCCATGGTCTGGTACGCCCGCCCGGAGCTGGACGGGTACGGTATATGGATATGGCTGGGTCTTCCGGGGGTGAGTCGGTCCTCTTTCTCTCTGCTCTTCCGGGTCGCTCGCATGACTATCTACCTACCTACGTCTACGGGGTAACTCGAGTGTGATCCTGTGCGCGTGCTCATACATTGTCACCCGCCACAGGCTTTGCCCTCCTTCATGTGGGACCTGAGCGAGTTCCTCTCCGTGTGCGCCCGACGCGGCCGCGGCATCACGCCCAAGGCCCACATCGGCGTCGAGCTGATGCTGTCCCTCGGGACTTACTCCGCCGGCGTGTTGCTGGCTATGCAGCTGGGGTTGCAGAAATCCAGCCAAGCCGGCCCAGTGCGCATGGATCCCTTCTCATACGCCGTCGCCCAATGCGTCTTCGTGCTCATTACCGCGTAAGTATCCCCGTGCACTCCCTTCACCTCTACACCCGCACCACTGACGCCCTCTGGCTAGGACTATCCATCTGGCCCTGTTCATCCGCGCCTGCGTCGAGCGCGGCCGTGAGATCCGCCAGCGCAGGCCGCGCGTCATGTACATCCCCGAGACGGGGCAGACGGTCTACGTCGTCCCCAAGCCGTTCCCCGAACCGCCGACGCAGAAGCCTCAGCAGCAGCAACCAGCCCGTCCCCCGTCGCTCTCCCAGTCACTCGGCGGCCCCGTCAGCAGCAGCCCGCTGCGCAACGCTTTCCAGCAACAGCAAGAGCTGCAGCAGCTCGAGATGCCGCCGTCGATTATGGAGAGAGAAGCGGTCCCCGGGGTGCCGCGCAACGTTCCAGTGGGCGACCGCGACCGGTTCCTCCGGCCAGGCATGCGGCCGCCGCCGGAGGACTACGTGCCGTCGGGGGAGGAGCTCGAGAGGGGGAGGAGGGGCGACGCGCAGCCGCAGCTAGTGATGCCGGGGGACGTGGACTTCAAGTTCGCGACGAGCGCGACGGGCATGACGCCGGCGGACGCGGGGGCGCGCGAGGGCAAGTATCGCATGAACGTGCCGGCGCCCATGTCGGCGACGCCGACGAGGGCCCGGTCGTTGTGATTGCCCGGTTCGTCTTATCTGTATTATAGTCTGCATTATGTGATTCATATTACAGACCCACCGCGCACACGCGTTTAACTACCTTGGAGGAACACCTCTGCGAACATGTTCGAGAGACGCCGGGGAACCCGGACTTGCTGTATTCTTGCTTGCATATTAAGTACATTGCTCAAGCTGTCAGAGGGCTCAGGACAGACGGGCTTACTTGCGCGACCATTCTGCAATTCCCTATTCTGCATTACATGTCATGTGAATAGCATGCCATTGACCGAACTACTAATTGTCTGGCGTGATCCCATAGATATATAGATACATAGATGGATGGATAGATAATGTCAATATCCACTCATACATAGTAAACCCCTTAAGATCGTGGCGTGGCAGGCCGCTCCAGGCCCCGTAAGAGCACCGCCCCACCCCCACTGTAACATGACGCTGGCTGCATGTAGTTTATATGGACCATAAGCTGCTCCCCCAAACAAACATTCAACACGGTCGTGTACGACGGCACTCAGAAAAAAACATCTACACCTATAAAGCCCCGTCGGCCTCCAGAGCGACTCGAATCCCTCAATGACGATTCGATCCTGACCGCGCGCGATCGCCTCCGTCTCCTATCGTGGGCTCCGAACCCCCCCGCCCTCATTCCACACTACGAGACGACACCCCCGACGATGCAGACCTTCGCCAACGAGGACGACGACCTCCGACGACGACAATGGACGCCATACCCATCTACCATGACATAGCGGCCGTACCGGCCAGCATAGTCCACCACCACGGCGACTTCCTCACTGCCGTCCCCTCCTACCGGTCCATGCACCGCGCCACCCTCCTCCTACGCGCCGCCTCGCTCTTCGCCGCCTCCGCCATCCTCGGTCTCGTCAGCTTCGCGCAGCAGCGCGACGGCGGCGCCGCCGGCGACGACCTCGCCCTCGGCTCCCTGACCTACGGCACCCCGACCGCCGTCTTCGCCTGGGTCTGGAGCGCCGTCGACGTCGCCGCGCTGCTCGGGCGCGCCCGCGGACCGCCGCGGAAGCCTCGCTTCGGCTGGGGCCGCCCTGGCTCTCACGTCGCTGCCCACCTGCTCATCTGGGCACCCACGATGGCCTTCATCGGCCTGCTCCTCGCCGACTGGTGGGCCTACGCGCACTCCCCCGGCTGGGCCCTGCACCGCCTGAACTTGACCGCCGGCTTGATCTTCTCCATGTTTGTCCTCATGTAAGTCCCCTCTCGCCCCACGAGCATCCGTCGCGAAAGAGGAAAAAGGAGAAAGAAGGGGGAAAAAAAAGGGGCCAACGCCCTGGCTAACATGGGACACTCGGAACAGGATAGTCCACTTCTCGCTTTTCGTCCTCGCCTGCGTCGAGGTTGACAAGAACAGGCGGCAGTACTCGGACGTCGTCTACCTCCCTCGCGGCGGCGGGGACCCGCTCGAGACCGTGCCGGTGCCGCCGACGACCCCGTGGGAGCTTTTCTGGCCGCGGCGGCTGACGCTCTCCTACTTTGCGAACCACTACGTCCGCTTCGTGCCCCGTGCCGACGGGACCGTCACCGTGGCCCGGGACTACAGCAGCCGCCAGGCGAGGTTTTGAGCGGTTGTATTATACACACCCGCGCCGATTCGTTACACCCAAAGTCTCATGGGAATGAGATACAGGGGATGATACATGAGGCCCTCACAGCAGATCCGATGGCGTTGGCTTGATAGGGATATAGTCGCAGAGCAGTACATCGCACTGCGACACATCGCAAACTAAGCGGCAGCATCGGGATAGACGAAGGACAGGGCACGGGGAAGAGCTGGGCTGCATGGATCGCCAGCCCGAGTACCAGACCCGGCACTTCCAACCCGGACGTGCTGTCAAGCAGCGCCGGATTACATGGTGTTTTGAGCGAGAAGGGAATGCCGGGTCGCTTCTCGTCGCTGGTCTTTGCCGTCGGGCTGAGCCAGGCTGAGGAGAGGTCGAGTCCCGGCTCCGCATGCTGAAAGGCCACTTGTGTGTCCGAGTGTGAGTGAGTGTGTGTCATTATTGATACGACAATCATGTATGCAAGAGGGCATTTTAGCTAAGCCTGGCAACCATGATCAGCGAAAGGAGGCCGGCGGCTGCTGGCTGTCATGTATGAACGGTTGTGTTTCCGGCTATGTTATATGTAAGCTGTCTATAGCCCTGAGCCTTCTCGACATCAGTAAGAACCACTGGCGATCGTGAATTCAGCCTCAAAACTTATTTGTTCACTCGTTGAGGCCTTCGCTGCTTACCCGCCAAGGCTTGGCTTGCCGTCTGGTTTGTGTTACTTTTAACTTCAAAGAGTTTCTGCCTGTCAACGGACCGAGACGAATGAGTTCGGGCAGCCCCATTTAGAATAAGATGCTGTCTCGATGTCTTCTTTCGTATTATTCCGGTTCTCTCGCTTCGAGGGATACGATTTGTTTTCATAGTGTGATGATGGTACAGGTATGTCAACTGGAAACTGAGCTGACGAAAGGGTGTGCTTGGTTAAATGGCACAGCATACGCTAGGTCAGCTCAATATTCTTTTCGCTAACTTTTCTAACCGGCTGGACTATGTTATGGATATCAAAGAACGGGATCGTGTTACGGGATCATGGCGGCTCGTATTTGGCACATTAGGTACCGCGTGTAGGCAGGAAAGTCTGAGAGCACCCACCTACCTGGCATCAGAGCAGCAGTCACATATCATGTCAGGCGGGAAGGCACGTGATATGTGACGTCAAGCCCCTCGGCCCCGTTTTTGCGCTGCAGGGTGGCGTAAGAGAAGCCACTCAGCGCGGGTCATTTTGACCAAGTACATTCGGCAGCTTCCGATTAGATAACGATAAGTGTACGTACTGTGGCCTAAGCACATGCCGGAGGGGTCAAGTCGATGGATGACTCGAGGCTCTCGCCGAATCCTTCAAGCCAACCAACTCCGAGTGAACTTGATGACAGGCGAGCTCGAAAGTAAAAAGGAAAAAGCAAACAAAAAATAAACCAGAATGTCTCGCCAACCAGCTTAACGTCCGGGGACAGCCTCGTGCCTCGAATCA